ACATCTTTAGTTCTTTCGTGTTTGGTTTCTAGTATATCCTAAACATCTTTAGCAGTTTACTCTCCTAAACTCTTTAGCAGACACAACCATGAATAGGGCATGAATGCCCTTACTGTTCCAGTTACACTCGGCTAAGTTATCTTTAGTCTAGAGTGAGATATCAGTGGGTGTAGTTACACTAGCCATAGTGGTTGAAGGTGTAGTCCACCTAGTTTGAATGCTCATCCAAATACGCTGATCCAATGCTTTAAGAAAAACTCTCATTTAAACTTTCCAACAAGCATAGTGGCTTCCATCGAAAAACGGAGGCACGGATAAGGGTTGAATCATCTAGAATTAATCAAGGGTCAGGAATCGAAATAAGGCTCTGATACCAATTGAAACAACGAGGTTCGACCTAAACTATAGCTAGAGGGGGTGAATAGGTGATTATGCGGAATTAAAAACTTAATAATTAATTAGCAACAAATCACTATTAATTATATCTAGATGGTTAATCAAACAGTTCAATTTTTCCTGTGTTGAGATACCGCAATTATGAAAGCAATAAACAAACACAAGAGATGATCACGGAGAAACCCCAACTAGGTAAAAATTTCGGACACTTTGCGAGTTAGAAATCCACTATAAACGAATTATGAACTTACAGTCTGCCATACATGACTATCACTAGTACTTTATGACCTCTTGACTGCACTTTCCACAACTTTCTTGGATTGCGTGCTTCGACACCAACTCCCAGCTGCAGTTTTCAAAGCCCTCTTGGATTGCGTGATTCAGTACCAACTCCCGGCTTTATGAATTTGTCTATCCCCTGTGGATCAACAAAGAACTTCTCGTTCTTCAACGACTGGAACTCCAGTCACCAACCCTTGATTTTCTGAACTTTGACATATGTGTATTTGGATTGTGGATTTAATGTTTTCACCGCCAAGAACAAATCACAGCACGAATGTTGAAAACTTATTTGATGAAAAGGATATGAATAGTATGTGTTTTCACAATGATTAGCATTAGAATTTACGTTCAGAGGCGTTTGGTATTCATAATTTAGGTTTTGGAATGAATGGGCCGGATAAAAAATCTTAAAAAAAGGAATTAAAAATTCTCCGGATAACCCCGTCGCTCGAGCGAAAGCTGGGCAACAGGCGAGCGACAGTGTGTCGCTCGAGCGAAGGCAATGCGACAGGCGGGCGATAATGTTTCTATTTCTGGCGCTCAAACAAAGTCATGGCAACAGTCTAACGAAATTGCGGCGCCGTTTTTCCTTTTTTTTCAATTCTCGAACCCTAGACCTAATACAACTCAATTTATACTTGCAACTTACTCATTGACTTTTACAACATATTAAATTTAGTCCCTTTTGTTCACATACTTGCCAATTACATCAAATACCTAACA